AGTTTAGAACTACTTTTTTCATTACACTGTTAATTTCACAGAGTAATACTGAGAAAATAGAGGAGAGTATATCAACCGAGTGGGTCATTCCTCTCTGGAACTGATGAGGTCGTATCCTTTCATATGCCTTCTGCAGCCTTTCTAAATAGATGTGGTCTTAAAGGCACATTTCTCAGTTACTTACATGAAACAAGTCTTGGGCGGAGAAAGGTGTGTGGGCCACAGTGAGCAATCTGTACCGGTCAGAAAGTTGTAAGGTAGAGGTGAAGCGGAATAACACGCAGAGAGGGGGAGGCATGGAGAGAGATGATTCACTTTCATGCCACGGGGTCCCTCTCAACCCCTTGACCTCAAACTTGTGTAACTAAGCTCTGCCTAGTAAGTTGCTAATACATACCAGGAAAGGAAAAACAAGTGAAGCCATCACACACGTATGAGAGTAGCGACTACCGGGAGAGTATCAATGAGTAGAAAGAAGCAAAATTTGATAGTTGTTGAATTGTATCGTCCTTCTTGACGGGCTCTGCACTCTCTTGGCAGTGATCGTCTGGTCTCTCACCCGCACCGCTGAGCGTCTCTGCGTCTCCATTCACCAAATAATTGTCCAGAATCTCAACTGAGCTTTATACCTTCCCAGCAGATTGAACTGCTTCCTTCCTGACTGTTAAGTCAGTTGTCACCTAAGAATCCAGATTTGGACTACACTACCCGCGAATTGCAATTGTGGAGTGTGCTGACCGTACCTACATGTCCGTGAGTAAAGTAATCAAAGGCAATGGTAAACTACCCGCTACTCACTCGAATGCGCCAGCGACAAGTTGTCAGTGAGAGAGATTGAAACCAACTGATCCTCATGAAGTCCATTGAAGCATTTCCCTCCCGTATTTTGGGATCCCGGTAGGAAAAGGTGGAAGCGAGAAGATTTCTCAGCTTCCGTTTGCAAGTGCCTTAGCCGAGCACACGCATAGTCCTTCCTCTTTGCTCATCAGTGAGGGAAGGGTGGAACATTGAATTAGTTGAATTTTGAGTTCAATACTTCTGAGCGTTCTCCCACTTCTCACTTGTTGCAGCCACCTTATTCGCGACCATACGACCAAGCAGCCTCGTAAGGCACATAACAATTGAGGCACTTGCACTTTCAGAGCAAGATCATGGATCAGTCATGCTCCGCACTCTGACTTAATGGCCATACTGACTGATTCATCAACTCCGTGAAAGGATCCCAATGTTGTGCTGCATTGAGAGCGTTCTAGCCTGAGAAGTGACTGAACATGTATCCGTATTTCTCAACATAGCTTGCCTGCGTTAAGGAAAAGTGAAAGGGAAACTTTCTATAATAGCATGGTTAGGTGGTGTTCCTTGGGGTCAAGCATTACAGTACTACTACTACACTGAGAACTAGAACAAGTGATGTCAGGAAAATGGCAGGCTGGAAGCCCCAAAATCTTATTCTATTGCAACTTTACCCGTAGGTTAAGAGAATGGGATGTAGCATTTATTGGCAAGTAGCACTAAAGGTGGAGGTTTCCTCGAGATCGGGGAGAATTTTGAAGCTCGAGCTTCAGGGTTCGGTGCGATTATCTGCACTAATGGGCTCCTTGTTTTGCTTCACTTTTCAATGTTTTTCTACGAAATTTTTGTATTTTGCAGTTCTATTCGGACTGGTGTGGACACTGCCGATCATTTGCACCGCTATATAAGGAATTGGCGAAGGATGTTCGTGGTTGGCAAGATGTCGTGAAGATTGCTGCCATAAACTGCGCTGATTCTACTAATCAAATCACTTGCCAGAGTAATAATGTGCAATTTTTCCCGTTCATAAAGGTACCGTATGATGAAGTCGAGTATTTTTTAATTTTGATTTTGATTTTTAAACGAGAAATCTTAGACGAAACGGTCAGAATGCTGTCCGAACCGTGCCTATTAATCGCCCACGTGAAGACTGATTCCACGCTGATTGTATAGGAGGAGTAGTAAAAAAGTGGTAAAAAAGTGCGTCGTTCTCGTGAATGGCCTTTGAGATGACTCTGCCAGTAGTGCACCAGGGGGGAGGAAGTGTTGCCCACTGGTGACCTGGCTCCGCCCACATGATCAGCGCGGAATGTGCCTTTTCCAGCATTCCTCTGAGAAACGTAACTGCATGTTTCAGTATTTCCCTCGAAATTCCACTGATTCGTTTGCCGGATCAAAGCTACGACCATATCAGTCATTGTCAGAAATGAGAGATCAACTGACCAAGGTAAGGTTCTGAAACAAGATTCCCCTGTTCCTATCCAAATAAAGATAAGTGAAACCACACTGAGATAAGGGTTGGGATCATCACTTTATGTTGATTTGGTTTTAACTTATCATTATACTTTTGAAGATGCAAATAGAGGTAGGGTAAGCAGGGCATGACACTGAAGAAAGTCACTTTTAACACGATGCTCCTCCACCTCTCAATCCGTTGAGGGTTTAGGAGAGAGCTGGCATTCGATAATTCATCATGAATACTAACCTTGACGCGTTGCCGGCTAGGGAGTGGTCCAAAACGGGAAAATCACCAAACAAAAGCTCTCATCGGGCTATTCATGCCCACTGCCGCCAATCTTCCCTCGCAGTTTTTTTACGACTTTCTCTCTCACGATGAGGAATAATCCAAGTGCACCGTGCCCTTTCCAAAGGTGTTGAAATGGGGCAGGGACTAACCCATAGACGTTTTCGTTTATTATAAGATTTCGCAGTGACTGACTGTTCAATTACCCCAGTATTTGGCCAGATATTCGGAAGTTCGAAACAGAATCATCTAAAGGAAACCACCTAGGTTTTTTTTACAAGGCGCCAGGGCGTTACTGTTCGAATAAGATGGTCCTGCTGGCTGTGGAGCACTTCAAAGGCAGTTGGCATGATTGGGTGCTCTGCCTAAAATGCTAGTGGGCTATAGTAGTGGGAAATGGCGAAAGAACGGAGTGAAACGGTCAAAATCCTGCGAAAAAAGAGCCTCCGTTCTCACTGTGTTAGTAATCAATTTTGGACGAGTTTCCCGAAGGCATCTTACCAATAAGCTACCGAAGGTACGGCTGCATATGTGTACTCATATATCCATGCAGCATCACGACCGCTTCATACCAATGCCTTCGCTTCATAATTTGCTTAGCAAATGAATCAATTAGAGCGTCTGGAACAGTCGTCCATTTGTGGGCGGGGGGCGTTTGGGACGTAAAGTTGTGGCTTGATAGCGCCCTTATAAGGGCACCTTCCCTGGAAAAGGCATTATGCAGCGCCTGCTCAGGGTCGCGGAATTCCGTCCTGCCAGGCGTATTAGTCCTGCTCGTCTTGGAGGATTTATCGTGCCAACTGCCTTTAAGGGTGAGTTTGGTGCGGCGACAGCTGTTTTCCCACCAATTGTAGAAGACGACAAGCGGCCACAATTGGTGGAAAACGAGCTGGCGTTGCGACAAACGCTTGTCTCCCACACACGTCCCAGCATTCGCGGCGATTAAGACCAAATCGTGCACAGAGCTCCGTTTGGATTGCACCCACAGAATCACAGGCTTTAGAAACTTACTTTCTTCAGAATTCGGGAGATGAGATAAGTTCTATCCTATTTTCGCTACCGGCTTTTCATATAGATAGCCTGAGTTTAAATAATTCAGTGGGTAGTCTACCATGGGTGCCGCACTTCAAGCACGATAGAAGTGTGATGGGCTGGGCCCATCTGAAAGTATCCCTCTTTCCAGGATGTACGCTCCATATCCTAAATACGGAGACGAATACGTGCTGAGTACTTCATTTTAAACATGGAGGCAGCTGCGTTTCTGGAAGTAATATTGTAGTTTAAGACCATGACGCTGCTCAGTACAAAAAAGGGTATTGTTTAAATGAAAATCTTCGGCAAACAACGCACTATGCAAGCGAATTTCGCAGCCACGCCCACTCCATCCCCGGGATGTGCAGTGTATGTGATGACAATCATGCACCTTGGAAAAAGGATATTGCCAGTTGGATGCTATAAAAAATTGTACTGTTTGGTATCTTATTTATAGGTAGTTATGGACGATTATTCAGTGAATCGTTTCAACGATTGGCCGAAATTCGACTATCTTGGAGAGTAAGTTCTACTGAAGCATTGCTCATTCAGGTACCAGTAGTAACTCATTTCAGCTTTGTCACATGGACAGACCTGTGGGAAGGTGCGCCAGCCAGCGCTCAGTACACAGCTATTATTTTTGAAAATCATCAGGCTAGCCTTACGGGTGCACAAGTGAGTGATGTGCTTAGATTATAGCTGAAACCTAAGACTGCGTTCATACTTTGCGGCGGCGTCTGCCAGCGTTCACTAGAGTTCCAAGCGTCCGGCAGCGTCAGCGACTAGGAAAGTGCATACGAAGCAAATCCACGACGCCTAATTCAGCTGATCGCTAGTCTCCAGCTTCCCCATACTCTCCATTCCCGACTCTACGGCATTGGTCGCTGGTGGAACGCTGGTGGACGCTGCTAGACGCTGGCAGACGCTAGATCGATACCTATACTTCCCTAGCCCTCGAGACGCTGGCAGACGCTGGTGGACGCTGGCAGACGCTAGATCGATATCTATACTTTCCCAGTCGCTGACGCTGCCGGACGCTCGGAACGCTCTCTACGCTGGTAAACGCTGGCGGACGCTGTTGCAAAGTATGGACGCAGCCCAAGGAGATGGGAGGAGAACCTGAAATTCCTGTAAAATCTATTATACATCTGTCTAGAGACGTACAGTTGGTATCGTCGCATTTAGTCAGGGCGGTGTCAAAGGGTATGGAATGAACCACCCGCGACGTTTTCATCACTGGCTGTTTTCTTCCTAAATCGACTCACTAGCGGCGCGGAATATTCCTGTAAAAAATCTTTTGTCTGACCCAGAAATTGCCACACGCCTTCGGGAGCTGGGCTCCTGTTACGACATTCAGCGAAGACTATTCTTCAGCACCTCCGCAGCAGTTCTAAAAACTCCCCACCATTTCTCACGAGTCTTTTGAAATTTCATACGATACAAAATTACAGTACCAGTGGCGCATTCTTTCCTTTCAGTGTCTAATGTATACAGAGAGACTTTTGCCAATTTTCCTATGGACAAGGTTCATTTTCAGCTGTTACTGGATCTGCACAGGAAGCGCGATCGTCTTCTGGTCCGACGTTGTTTGAAAAACCACCCACTGGCGGACGCGCTTCGACTCACCGATTTTCCTTCACTGGCGATTTTCAAGCGCGCCGATAAGAAGCCTATTCTGGTCGTAGAGTGAGGTTTTCATCACTTCTTAAAACAAGCTTTCATTGAATAATAGCAAAATCTGAACATACTCGAGGGCGTCATGCTGGGTGATAGAAAAAAAATCTCAGTTTTCTGCCTGAGTACTGGTCGAACTATTAGATTGTACAAAAGGGCCAGCAACATTTTGAGCAAACTATTCTAGAATAGGTCAGGCCCTTTCCAAATGGCTTTACCCTTGGTCACTGAAGAGTGGTGTCTAAGGTTTCTGCAGGCGGGTGTGTTATGGTTTTGA